AAGCTTGAGTGTTTTTACAAGGTTATTTCCAATTAATGTAATTGATGTGTTCTTGATCATTGGTTTCCAAACCCAAGTTGAGTTTATTTTGCATGAGTATGCTTTGTGCACGAGTTAATCTTAATCTAGATTGACTAAGAGTGAGTATGATGATGATTCAACTGACTTGGAAAGTTTTCTAAAGTGTGAAATCAAGTTTTTGAAAACTAACTCAAAATAATCGATTATCATTAAAAATAATATATTATTCCAGCAAGAGGTTCAAGAAACCTTGCTGTAATAATCGATTATTAGACAAATAATTGATTATTCCAGGAAGTACTCTCTGGAATAATCGATTATCCTGCAAAATAATCGATTATTCTATTCTTGAATGATTTTCAGAATTCATGAAGAACAAAATAATCGATTATCCTTAAAAATAATCGATTATCTAGGTCTAGAAAACTTTATAAATAGTTTTCACACTTTGAAACAAGTACAAATAGATGAACAGAAAATAGAAGAGAGAAAAAATGATTTTGTGGTCTTTGTGACCTTCTTGGAGTGTTTTCTTTGTGAAACCAAGAAGAAAAACATTTTGTGAAATTCTTTGAGAGAGATCATCATCATCACTACATTCTTGGAAAAGAAGGATTAAGATTTTTCAAGAATTCACAGTCTGATTTGTTTAGCTTCGAGGTGAATTCGATCCTTTAATTCTTTGTCTAATGTGTAAAGAAATCTTGAGTAGGTGTCTCAAGTTGTAAGGAATTCCTGTAGTGGGTTTCTACAAGAAGTGCTTTCTTGGGTGCAAGAAAGCGTCTATCTTGAGTGTTGGAGTGTATGCATCTGTGATATGCTTGTAAAACTTCTTCATCGAGATAGTGGAACAAATCTTGATCAGTTTATGATTGAGGACTGGATGTAGGCCACATGTGGAGTGGTTGAACCAGGATAAAACACTTTGCACTATTCTCTCATCTCTATCTCTTACAATGAACCATCTTTAATTGAATATTAAAATGGTTGGACATGATTGATATGCTTGTATGATTCATAGTGGTTTAAACTGAAACATTACAATTGCATATTAGTTGTTCTTAGACTAAATTCAATAAAGATTAACCAAGAATTCATATGGAGTTATTCCCATTTGCAAGAGGTTCAAGAAAATTCATTGAAAATTTGTATTAGAAAAGTTTTAATTGAAATAAATATCCTTAAACTCTGATAAAACTTTTAAGTGTCATGAATTCAATTCACCCCCCCTTTTTGGATTGAGCCATTCTTTTCTATCAATGTTGAGGAAGAAGAGTTACCAACATTTCCACAACCTAGAATCTTCCCTTTGTTGTTGATACTATATGTAACAGATCCTTCATGCTTTAGTTTTAGACTTGAGAACTTTGAAGGATCTCCGGTCATGTGTCTTGAGCAGCCACTATCAAGATACCATAGCAAACTTTTGGCTCTCAAGCATTCCTACAACAAAGTCAAAAAATTGATTTAGGTACCCATGTGAAGGGTCTTTGATGGTTAGTTCCAAACTTTGGCCTTTTATAATCCAAATCATTTCACCCTTAGGAACACCATATTTTTTGGAATAGCAATTTCTTATTGTACGTCCTTTCTTACAACAATAAAAGCAAGTAATTTGTTTCATGAAATTTCCTTTGTACTTTCTAAAAGATTGGTTCCTTTTCATAAAAAATGTGTAACTTTTGCTCATGCTCTCTTAGCTTTCCGAAGAGAGTTGCAAATGTCAATGAGGTTAGATCCTTTGATTATAGAACCTTATAGATATAAGTATAATACTATAAAATGTTCATTTATTATTTTTTGATAAAGGAAATGAATATAATTGAAAAATCAAAAGAATTATTAACCTTGGATTTTTTCCATAATGAACATTCATATTTTCATATTGACCATCTCTACAACTAATATTAATTACTAAATAACCAACAATTTGTACAAAACAAACCCTTCTCAACCTTCAATTTTGAAATTAAAGAAAACATATTTTAATAAGAAATGATAAAATCTTTTCCACCAAGAATCTAATGAAGTAATAGAAAATGTTATAAACAAGAAAACAACATATCAATCTATTTTGATATTCTAATAGTCATTATGCCAAATTCTTTAATATCCACTATTTGTACTAAACTTTAGCACTATCCATTTTCTTACATACAAATCAAGAAGAACTAGCATAATAAGTCTAAAAATCAATTTAACTTTGCAATTGTAAAACAAACAAAGAAAAATTTTCAAGAATCAAGTCACCCAATTGTAAGCATATGACCAATAGTTACTCTTTTTAAATTTTTATCTAAAATTTGTATTAACAAATAAATTGGTAATACTCAATAACCAATGTCTCAAATAAAAAAAATTACTATGTTTTAAATATTGTTTTTATAAAAATTAATGTTTTGAAATAAACAATGGCTTTCTTTAACAGATTCTCCTTGCTTTGCTTGGATTTGATTTTTTAAATACTTTATTTTAGTAATCATGGTTCTTCCAATAGCATCATCTAATTTTGAATGAAATTTTGAACTATCATGGTGATACAATTTCGAAGAAGAAAAAAAACAAAATGTAATGATGCAAGAGGTCACAACATTGGTACACTAACTCAAGGCATACACCTCTTCTAATTTAAGATGATCATACAAGTTATATTTTAGAGATATGAAAGGCTCATAAAAATAGAATATGGAGAAAGTGGTAAAGATCCAACCTGGCAAGGTAAAGATCTTTTGTGTGACATTGGAGGCCCCATGACGAGGTCCAAGATGAAGATGATAAAACAAACTTAAGAAGGTTTAATTGTGAAGATTAAGACCAGTTCAAATCAAAGTTTAGAGGTTGTACCAATATAAATCACATTCCTACAAGTTAATCAAGATGTAGGCCACGTTGAGGACAACATGACAAGCCCAAACTCAAATGATCAAGAAAAACCATTAATGAGCTAAAGTTTAAATAGTTTTTGGATGAATAGTTACCTGCATCCATTTTCTTAATTTTAATGTGATTTTTGTATTTTATTTTAATTAAATAAGTACATATGACTTTTCATATTGCCTAGGTCAATTTTGAGTGTTTTCGGCTTCCTAATGGAAAGCAAATACTAGTAGGTATTTATTTCCTCATAGAAAGTTACTACTTATAAGTGAGAAGTTACTTAGTTTAGTCTATAGGGGCTTCTTGTAAGCATCCAAGGTAGACTTGAAGGTTAATAGAATTTCAAGTTTCTTATTGTGAGAGCTTTTTCCCTTTTATTTTCTTGGATATGAACTTTATAGTGTTAGTTCTACTGGAAAGTCGTAGTGAAGGTCATGCATCATTTAATAACACTAGTTCTACTGACTTGTCGCGATTAGGGTCAAGTTACTCTTTAGTTCCTTTACATGTTTTCAAGACGATCTTATTTTAAAAAGTTGTATCATGTAGTATCAAAGCCTCATTTCTTGAATTTAGTGTTATCTATCCATTAAGTATTTATCTTCTTTGATCTAAAAAAAATCCATTATTCCTTTTTTTCTTTTCCCTTTGTTCTATTTCATTGTGTCTGTTCATTTTCTTTGTTATCTCTTTGTGCTTCTTTTTCCCTAGTACCATTAAAAAAAAGAAATGAAAAAAACAAAACTTTTTGGTACTATTGCATCTTTTACTTTTGCACAATAGAAAAAAAATAGTTCCTTGTCATTTCTATTTCACCAATTCCTTGTTCTTGTTCTGTAAAGTTATCATATCAACCATCGCTTGATGCTTCTTGTTGTGTAAAATCATGCTCAAAAGCGCTTACCTAAGAAATCATAAGGATAAGTTGAGTGGTAAAAGGCAAAAGTGGTGAGACCATCAAAGGGAAAAAGCCAAATTTGTAACAGCCCATTTTTCGTGGGCCAAAGGCCCAATTCTCCCATGCATTTTTTTTCTTTAAGAATGATTAGTTCACTAGTGTACTCTCATGGACAAGCATTTTTGTCAATTGGGTTTGGAAACCAATGATCAAGAACACATCAATTACATTAATTGGAAATAACCTTGTAAAAACACTCAAGCTTTGAGAAGGCACCACATCCTACAACATCTAACTTTGCCTACTAAATCTAGTAAATATAAGGATAACAATGTAAGATACTCATTTATTATTTTTTTTATAAATGAAATACAAATATTTTTAAGAGTAAAAGTATTACTAACTCTCTATTTTTACCATAAAAGAAGTTCATATTTCCTTATTGACCATCTCCTTAATTAAGATTAATTACTAATAACCAACAATTAGTACAAAACAAACCCTAATTAACCTTCCATTTTTTCAATTGAAGTAAATATATTTGAATAAAAAATAATTAAATTTGTGCGACAACAAAAATCATTAGAAGTAAAAGAAAATGTCATACAAGGAAGGAAATAACTAGATGAGTCCATTACGATATTCTAATAGTCATTATAAAAAATGCTTAAATCTTTACTATTTGTGCTAAAAATTGGACACTATCCTCCTACATAGAAATAAAGAATAACTAGCACAATGATACAAAATTGGTTTATAGCTTAGATTTGGTAAAACTAGAAAAGAAGCATTTCAAAAAGAATCAAGCCACATAATTTTAAACTTAGGATTTACGAATATTCTCTTTTTACATTTTTTAAAAAAAAATTTATGAAACAAATTGACACCACTCAACAACCAATTTCTCATAAAAATAATTATGTTTTAAAAGTTGTTTTTATAACAATTGTTTCAGAATAAACAAGGCCTTTCTTTAATTGATATCCCATAAGATGGTTCCCCTTGTGGTTTCTGTGAGAACGAGCTTACCAGAGTCTGAAAACTGGGAACTTGTGTTGGATGTTATGTTGGACACATTCGTTGACCAAATAACTTGTTTCTGTCCATTCAGCACCACAAGATTGCTATCTTCAGAAATTGTAACAACTCCAGAAGAATCATTCAGTGGTTGGTCTCTGTTAGCAACCCATATGACTGTGCCGATTTGAACAAACATGGTGGGATGATGAGAAGAAAGGAATGGAAGTTACGTGGACCAGTCGAAAATCCGATTGTGATGTTTATGGTATGTGTGGACCTTTTGCAAGTTGTAATTCACAGAGGTCACCAATATGTAGCTGTTTGAAAGGGTTTGAACCAAGGAACAAAGAGGAGTGGAGTAGACAGAACTGGACTAGTGGATGTGTTAGGAGAACACGGTTGAAGTGTGAAAGGGTCAAAGATCAGAACACAAGTATAGATACAAAGGAAGATGGGTTTCTGAAACTGCAGATGATTAAAGTTCCAGATTTTGAAGAAGGGTCACCTGTTCCGCCAGACATATGCAAAAGCCAATGCTTGGATAATTGCTCTTGTATTGCTTACTCTCACGATGATGAGATTGGTTGTATGTCTTGGACAGAGAATCTACTTGACATACAACAATTCTCAGAAGGAGGACTTGAGCTATATATTCGTGTGGCCAACTCTGAACTTGGTATGCTACATCTGTTCAAACATTTAAAACAGTTTCTTTCGACTGAATTTATTATATTTTAAATTTAAATTTTTTTTCTTCATAACAGATAAAGGGACAAATAGAACAATGATCATTACAATAACAGTGATAATAGGAACTGTCATCCTTGTTACTTGTGCATATGTCATGTGGAGGACTTCCAATCACCCAGGTATGTCACCATCTTCTGTGGTTTTAGAATTAGTCCTATCATTAGTTCTGGTTTTATTGGTAAAGTAGCTAAGCTAACATTATCTTTCTAACTCCAGCTAAAATATGGCGAGCGATCAAATCAGCAAGGAAGAGGAACAACAAAGCTATCCTACTATCTAACAGGGGTGGTGAGACACCAGAACAACCAAGGCACAGCGTAATTGAAGAACTGTCACAAGTTAAACTACAGGAGCTGTTAATATTTGATTTTGAAAGGGTTGCTACAGTCACAAACAACTTCCACCTGTCCAACAAACTTGGGCAGGGTGGTTTTGGCCCAGTGTACAAGGTACCTTCAAACAAAGTTATTGAATTTGAAGGTTGCTGAAAACTATCCCATAAGATGGTTACCCTTGTGGTTTCTGTGAGAACGAGCTTACCAGAGTCTGAAAACTGGGAACTTGTGTTGGATGTTATGTTGGACACATTCGTTGACCAAATAACTTGTTTCTGTCCATTCAGCACCACAAGATTGCTATCTTCAGAAATTGTAACAACTCCAGAAGAATCATTCAGTGGTTGGTCTCTGTTAGCAACCCATATGACTGTGGACTCAGACTTCCACCAAATTCCAACGTAGCGTTTTGTGGAGTTTTGAGGGGTGAAGAATCCCAACGTGAAGTTACCATCTTTGGAACTTAGAGTATCAGGGTCCTTCATGGATTGCGATGATGTGATGCTGTCTATGGCAATACCAACGTCCAACACATAACGACAAAGTATGAACAGAACAAAGAACAAGTTTGCACGGTGTCTGAAACACATTACTGAAACACTTCCTTCTTAAAGTCAACGGGTCTATCTATCGCGTGCAAATCAGAATTTAGTTTGCTCTCACAAACAAATAGAAGGAGGCTTCTTAAAACTGATCACCCCGTTGGATAAATAATTATGGGATGGTTTAACTATTCCAAACATGCTTATTTATTCAATTAAGAATGTATTTTAAGATAGTTGGTATAATTTTCTTAATTGCATCAGTGATGAGCTTCTATGATATTTTTTAACTTCAATTTTATACTTTTAGTAAAATATATAGACAACTAACGCGGCGGAGTCACCATGGTCACGCCAAAATTTGTAACTTTAACGGTCTTATATATTTTATGTTAATTATCACATAGTATTTTAAAGTTAATAATAAAGAATTAATATGTATTTATGGTATGTATTTATGGGATATAATTTTTATTTATTAAATATTATTTTAATATAGATAAGATCGAATGTGAGAGTATTATGTGGATCTTTTGTCAGAGGACAATGTTGATTTAACATTCTTAGAGTATCTGCAATGAAGGTTACTTATAAGCAATCATTGTACTACATCACTGTCACATCAGCTCTAACCCACTTTATGGGTTGCTTAAATTTTAGCAAAGTTGTTTCACAAACAACTTTACTAAAATTTAAGCAACTCATAAAGTGGGTTAGAGCTGATGTGCTAGTGGAGTTACTTATAAGCAACCCCATTGTAGATGCTCTTATATAAAAGTATATGACAGTCAGATAAGGAAAATATATGAGAGATATAGTCTTTGGTCCCTTAAGCTTGAACCCAACTTCTGCCTCCACGAGTTTGACAACCCTAATAATATTATTCAATTCAGTTCTCTTGGAACGATTCAAATAACGTGTAAAAATAGGCTTTCAATGTCACCTTTCATGTTCATTTTCCCTTCATTTTCTTTGTTTCTTATATCCCCCATTCAGTCAACCCACCTAGCTCGTTAAATTTGTGAGGAGTCATTTTTGTTGTCAAATTGGACTTTACAGGTTCCTCACGAAATTACCAAATTATTATTAATTGTATTATCCTTTTTAAGGTTATACGTTTAAAGTATTTTTGAAGGTAGTAGGTATGTATATACTATTTTTTTATTATAGTCGCAAAGATATGATCTCTCAAGTTTGAATGATAATTTTGAATATGAGAAGTAAATTGTTTTAAGCTTTAAAGTCTGAGCAAGTGTTGCATTACCACAACAAAATATCGTGTTTGACAACGACCAAATTGAAAAAAATATATTTTTTTATTTGCTTATAGCTAGTAATATTATATGATTTTAATTTTTATACATTTTCTATAGTGCAAATATTTTTATTCTTTAATTAGAAATAATGTTGTATATGATTTTTTATTTTACAATGACAACACTGAATTTAAAACTTATAATCTTATGTATATTCTCAAAAATTGTCACCACTAGGTCATTAACAGTGGATTACCTATAACTTAATAGTGTGTTTGGATGGGGAATTTAAATGGAGTAATTCATTTATTTGAAGAATTTCAAATTCTTTGAAATGAAATACCTTGTTTGGATGGAGAATTTATAAGAAATTTGAAATTCAAGTATTTGTGAAATTCCTTAAAATAGTAGAATTTCAAATTCTCCCAAAAAAGTAAGAATTTGAAATTTCTCATATTTTTTTCTTCTTATTTCACTTATATATTTTATCTTATCTCTTCATGTTTTTAATTATTAAATATTCAAAAATATTTTTAAGATTATTAAATATTATATAATATTAATTTTTTAAAATTATTAAATATTTAAAAATTTGCTAATATTTATTTTTATAAAATTTAATTTAAAAATTCTCAACATATAAATATATTTTTAAAATCAATTTTACCATGGTGGAATCAAATTATCATATCCAACCTAATAATTTAAAATTTGATAAATTTGAATTGACTTATCCAAACAAAATATTTTAAGAATGATAGAAATTGAAATCAAAGTAATTCAAATACCAAGAATTTAAAATTCCTTGAATTTGTAAAATTC